AAGTAATCCACTGACTTTAGGGTGACCAGGGTCAATCATTCCTGTTTGCCTACTCAGTGTTTACTTTGATACCACCTAATCTTTTGGGGATTTTGCTTATTTTGCAACTGCTAACACTTGGTTATCTTTACTGATACTGCTATATCACTTGGAAAACATTAATATATTATTCTCAAAAAATAAAAAGTTTGTAAGTAATAAGTACTTTTGCTCTTTAAGACCAAGTTTCAAGTTTGTTAATACAAAAACTCTTCAGTTCGCTTAGTCTTTTTGGCCTTACTTTAAATATTTTACATTTCAGTGGTGATGAAATTCCAGAATCAGTCCCAATGTCAAGTTCAAGGCCTTCAAGACGAGCAAAAACAGTGGCACTTGAAAAAACAAGAATGAATCTTTCAAGAATTTTGAATAGGGAAGCAGAGCAATGAAGACAAAAGGAGAGATAGCATCCTTTGCTAATGCTGGTAGTTAACATCAGACTTGAAAAATAACATTTCTTTTACTGTTAAGTCATATTTAACTCTTTTTATATTTCAATCCTTTATAATTCCAGATTTTTCTAGGAACTCTAATTTTTTTTAATTAGGCGATTTTCATTATTTTCTTGATACAAAGTCCATCATTCATGTAATAAAAACATATTAAAATATTACCTGAACAAAACTTGGGTTTTGGTTTGGGTTTGTTTTTTCTTTTCACTTTATAGAGAAGAATGCTTTTTATCTGCAAATAAAAATTGCTGTTGGTGGTAAGTACTTAATAGTTAAAACTGTTTTGATATTTAATGTTATTCAGAGAGAATGTTTGACCTGGAGTGGTTGCTTCTGATGGCAGCAATTTTGAATGTACCTACCTTTAATGAACCTACTTTCCTCATTTATTAGCCTGTACATCTGCTGACCAGGTTTTATTGTTGATGTTAATGTAAAAAAGAATTAATCTTAATTCTGAATTCTGCTTCCTGCAGGTATGTGTCCACTTGGTTTTAAATAATGTCAAAATGGCAAAACTGAGTTACCGATTTTATAAACCTAAGCCTCGAAGGGTGCTACTGATCTTGACCTTGTTATATAAAATTGGTAATGTGCTTTTAGAAAAGCATAAAAATATTTGTGGTACAAAATAAGATCCAATAAGGAAATTAATACTTCAGTAGAGAAAGGGAAAAAAATGAAATACTTCATAAGATCTGTGTACTGTGTTTTTAAAGTGGTGTGCAACTGTGATTTCTTTGTAGCTTTTAAGTTCACAAACCTTTTTCTAATGACATACCTAGGAATAGTCAGGACTTTTATAGAGACAATAGAAGATAGCAGATTTACTCTGGAAATGCTTTTTTTTTTATTTGGAAACAAAAAATCTGTCTTTGTTACAATAATAGATCATTTCCAAGACAGTTGGAGAAAACTCATGTTGATTGCTTCACATGCGCATCTCAACTACTGATGCCAAATGTAGCTTTCTGAGGAACTTGCATTTAAAATAGGTAAATATACTGTAAATGATCTTTGATAATTCTCAGAAATGGCTTAGGGACACAAGTGAAAAGTTGTGTTCCCAAAGGGTAATGGCCAAACTATTACGCTATTTTCAAGCTTGCATATAGAAAACTGACAGGATTGAATTGCTTTTCCTCCCTTTCAGTTTTTGTTGGAAACTGGTCAAACCACAAAGTGCCATGACACACTTTTCTGCTGATATTTGCTATTCAGAAGCTTATGTAACTGTGATTAATTATTTTTATTCATCATTTTGAACAGAATTTTTGAAGTCCTGAGCTCCCTCTTTTGATAATCCTTTTCTTCAAATCCCCAGCTTGTGTTTTAGTGAGTTTGCGTATGTGCAACCACTTGAGATCAGAGACAGTGTCTGTCCCTGTGAAAGCTGCCTGAACATAGTTCAAAAGGGTGAAGTATGTATTTCAGTTTTTCTCAGCTGATTGTCAATCAGAGCTTCCCTTGTGTTTTAAAGTTTAGTTATTTTTTAAAATTTCAGTTACAAATTCTCTCTCGCCCTCGCTCTTGTGAGTGGTTTGCCCTTCTGCTACTAGTACACTTTCAAAAACTGCTGCTAGTCCACTATTATTTTTGGTTAAAAGCAGGAGCAATAATTTCTGAAGGCTTCTCTGGGAATGCCTTCCTGAATAAATTGAAGACCTTCAGTTTTGCTGCCTTGCTGTTCTGTCGTGTCTTGCCACGCATACGGGTTCTGTCTCTGGCATCTCGTAGGATTGCTGTACCAATCTTTTGATCAGGTTTCCCTGAAGTCGCCTCTCAATCAGTGTATGCTTCTGCTGTGGATATGGCTTCACTGGTGTGTATTAATGGACAGCATATTACATATTAATATTAAAAGACAGACACTGACAAACCGGAGTGAGTTCAGTGGAGGCCCCCAAGCTGGTCAGGGGGCTGGACTGATTACCCTGTGGGGCGAGGCTGAGGGAGCTGGGCTTATTCAGCCTGTGGGTGTTGGGAAGAGCCCCAGTTACCCACAAGGACTCTGTGGAGGAACCAGGCTCTTTGTTGCATATTATCACAGAATGGTTTGGGTTGGAAAGGACCTTAAAGATTATTGAGTTCCAACCCCCCTGCCGCAGGCAGGGACACCTCCCACTAGGCTAGGTGATGGGAGGACAAAAAACAGTGGGTGTAACTTGAAATTCAGACTGGAATATAAGCAGAAAAGGGCAGTGGAACAAGTTGAGAACAGTTGGAAAGAGTTGCCCAGAGAGGCTGTGCAGGCTCTGTCCTAGGAGGTTTTTAAGCCCTGACTAGCTAAAGACCTTAACAACCAGCTCTGAGCAGGATGTACAACTACAGACCTCCTGAGGTCCTTCTATGCCTGAATTACCCTGTGATCCTCTTTCAGGCTAGAAACTTGAGCAGCAACTGGCACATAATTTCCAGCCCCTCTGGGCTCTTGCCTTGCCCTGCTCCCTGTCAAGAGAAGGGTTGTCTGTGCAGTAGGAAATTTGGTATGCTCTTGCAAAATTACTTCATCTTTTGAGGAGGGATGGCTGCTTAATTGCAGTGTAGGGTGATCAGATGTGTGTTGTATTTTTCAAAGCTGATTATGAGCAGTGATCAGGGTTTAAATGTATGCAGCTGACTTTCTGAGCAAGTTGCATATGGGAGCAGTAGAGTACATCCAAAGGTGATAAGGAGCCAAGTCTGGAAGTATCTTACACCTTCAGTGAAAAAATCGTGACTTAGTATGCATAACTCTTTCTAGCTAAAATAATGTTGCTCATTTTTGTTTACTTTAATTCTATGGGTTGAAAGTACATAACTTCCTGGCTGTTTAAGGCTGTCAAATGTGAGCCAAACTAGACCTGGACTTGATTCCTTATTAAATAATGATAAAATAGCAGTGGTTATCTGTTGACAAACTTAAAGTCATCCCATGTGTATTCTTACACTAATTTTTGTTTCTTAAAACCACTTTTGTGATTGTTTTTGTTTGCTTGCCTAATCAGTCTCTTTAGACTACAAACTAAAATACTTTCTCTTGATAATCTCCTATGGCTGGTCGCTATCTCAAGATGAAGGGTGAGTGCTGCACCAAGAACGCTTATTTTGTCCGACTTAAGTGGTTAGTGAGCTGTGGTTATGCCTGTATCTGACTCCTACCTGAAACCTTATGAACTCATCAGCCAACTGAAATTCAATATGGAAGGGATCATAATCATTAGAAGTTAACAAAAACAGCTGCTTGGAGGTGAGATGTGTCCGTAACAGAAAGGTTCTGGTATTCGCTCGGTCTTTGAAATTAAGAAAATCCATGTGGCATCTTCTCCTTCAGGCACATGACCAAGATACCAGCTGCATTAGTTCCACTGCTTGTAAGACTTTTTTAATGTTCCTCTTTGGATAGCCCTGGCTCCTTACTGTTCCATGTGCTTTGGTGGGGCTCCACTGAAGTCAACTTCAGTGCCTCTCCCCAGGGAGTTTAATTCTCTTTTTGGCTTTCTTGCCCCACAGAATCCAAGTGCATTAAACAGCTGAGATACATAAAGACCCTCTAGACAGTGTCGCATGATGATGAATGTTCATTGTTTTAATCATGTTCTGCACTGTCCAACACTTCAGTGACTCAGTACCCTTGTGGGATCTTGTAAGACTTACCAGAATTCACAGCAATCTTTTTATTTCTGTTACTGGATTGCACCTGCAAAGCAACAAACTTCTGTAAAGAAGAATTGCATCTTCGCTTTGTTAAGTAAGATGGTAATTTTAAGTCAATCCTTAAAACCTTTGTTTTATAAAATACAGTGTCTTCCAAAGAAATTCCCTTGTGGAAAATTAGTTCTTGGTAAGTAAAGGACAGACAACTTGTTAAAAAGTTGAATTAAGAAAACTCTACTCTAGCTATTGAATGTATGACTCCAGAAAAGAGAAATACAGCATATGGTTTTATTCTAACACTTTTGTTATAGCTCTATTAATAATAAAGTTTTGATGAATCAAGTACATGAACCTTGCTAAAGCTGATCTAAGCATGGAATGTCTACAATGTAGTCAGCTACAACCATTTACTACTTCTTTGAGTAGAGTTTAAAATTTTGATGTTTACATTGAATTTCCAAAGTACACAGGGAAAAAAAAGAAATAGGAAGAGCATTTACATCCATTTTAATTGGTGGCAGGCATAAATTCAAAAAAACAAAAGGGGAAGAAAGACCATTTAGCAGAAACCTCAAAAAGTGCAGATACAAATTTTCTTGAATGACAATCTTTCGAGAGATTCTCCTGCAGGCTTGGCCTTTCTTTTAGACATTACGCTCATTAAACACTGTCACACAGAAGTTCTCAAGATATATGAAGATGAAAGCATACTGCAGAAACAAACTGGTTGTTCGATACATTTCAATCTGTTTGAGAAGGAGATCTCCTCAAATCTTTTCTTTTTACTGCTTTGCTTCGAGGTAGTTGGTCTCCACCTGTTGCAGATTAATTTGAATTGTTATTACCATAAATCATTACATAGTGACCTATGCCACAAATTACATAATATATTAATTTTCGTGCAAAAAATAAAACTGGGAAATAATAATTAAAGAACATAGAAAAATCACAATACTATTAAAGGGGAACATCTGATTCTGATATAAATTTGTACTGCAAGAATTTCATGATGGTCAGATGTGAAATTTTATATTTTAAAAAAGAAAAAGTACATCAAAATGAATAATGCTAGTATTAATATAAAGCCAAATCACACAAGATCATTTCAAGATCAATGTAATAAATGCTTATTATTCAGCAGAAAAAAAATCAGGAACAATGTACAAAATAATAGTGCAAGAACAGCTGCAATCTATTTGTTCTCATCAGTTTTGAGATTTTGGTTAAAAACTTTACAGCTGGCGAGAGATGCTGCTGAAAAACTCAGATTCCACTCAGTGGGCTGATTAAGGCACATCTTT